ATTTTTTTTTTTTTCCACACGCAATGTCGTGACGACATCCCCCCCGGGGTCTACCCTACACACAAAAGTGAACCCGTCATTTTATTATACCGCCACACTAATGAGCAAGTTGCGATATGGACACAAAAGTAAGAAAGTACACACTCATCATTTAACGATGTTGTTAACACCGTCATATCAACCGAAATTTCGTACAAATTAATAAGACATACTTCATCCTCTGTCAAAACCGTACTCTCCGTCTGATCTCTACACCCTCTACTCTCGTAGGAATAATCCCGTGTCTGTACATCTCCGGATGTATAGATTACTACACACACGCATTATACAAATTCTCCTTCGCACACACGCAACGACAGTTTCCAGGGGGATACATACACGTTAAGATGATTGAGGTTTTGTAACGACATCCTAGACTAACTCTCGGCTCCATTACTAAAACGCGGGAGCAATCGATAGCTAGACAACATCGTTGCTTTATTAGTACTAGTTGTATATAGAACAATACACGTTGCTATATCATCGTTGTGTAGGGATATTCCTCGGTCCGTGCACACACACACACACACACACACACAACACACACACACACTACCTTAGTTGCTGACCCCGACTGAGTAACACGACCCAGGGCGGGTTCTTTCACTCCTTGGCGCCGGTTACCTCTTCGACGGTTGAGTGACCGATCGAGCGGCGTCTTCACTTTAGCGGTTTTTTATTGTTTATTGATCCCTCCTCGTAGCGCTAGTTCGAGGAGGGGGTGGACACATATTCTTCCAACACTAAAAAGGCTACCGAGCCGGCGGGCGAAGGACTGACGCGCAGAGGCTATAACCATGCCGGTGCCATTCATCTTTACTCGGCGGTCTCAGTAGACACATAACATAACAATGCGCAAAATAGTAATTTTGTCTAAAGTAACCAAACTTCGAACATGAACCACAAAGGAATTAGGGAAGAAAAAATGACTAAAATGGGTCCGACGTGATTTTCCTGTCGCGCCTCGGCTCCCACCCACAATACTTATTCCAGAGATTTGAGCTATTGTCCAAATATGGATGTCCCCTCGCTCACATCCCACTCCAAACAAAAAGGCTTCACCCCTCACATATCCAGCTTCTGGCCACACAGATCGCTATTATTTGATACAAAGTAATTAAACACACACATATATTTAAGCAAACTCATATCTGGATACTGACAACACAGGTTACTTTAATAATCAATAGTGCACGCGCCCCTTCTCCTGCAGCCTGCCTCCTTTGACTTTATAAACGACCCCTTTAGCATATTCTGTGTGTTATCACGTTTGTCCGAGATCTTAAGCAAACATCGGACCACTAATGTTAACCTGTCATCCACCTGTCAGCAACAATCGACACATGAATCCTGTAATCCACTTCCTGCAATTGGGTCAGATTTAGTTGGAACTGCAATTGATCTGCTCGGAAACGGTCCATGACGGACCTCCCACAGGAAGGAAGTCTTGAACCGACCCAGAGTTTGACTAAATCTTCTTTGGAAGAGAAAACAGACTTGTAGCCTTAATAACCAAACTGTTCATTGGACATATCTACCACAGTGTGAAGACCAGCTTCCTGTTTCAGCTCCCACATTTGAAGGATTGTTACTGACATTGGTTCCATTCAATTTCACTCCAAACGAAGTGGTGAAGATAATCTGACTGTACAGATATCCTGTTCACAACTTGTCGGACCATTGAGTGACTTGTTGCTTTGTTTCCAAATCTCACAGTTACTTTAGTATCAATACAAATGATGTCAAAACTACAAGCTATGGAGGTGTGTCAAACTACAAAGAGTGTGTTTCCCTCACCAGGAGCAGCAGCCTTCATCTGAAGCACCTCGCTGCAGAGATGTATATGTGAACTACATGATGTCTCAGCACACTGTGACATCACTTTGGATGAAGGATTTGGAACAAGAGGAGAGAACTGGAGAGCTCCAACTGATGTCAGACACTGAAGATGTATTGAAGACATTTGCAACAACGAGGTGATACCACTCCCTCCCATCAATTCTGAAGCTCTCTCACCCAGACCCAAGTATTTAGCTAGTTCTAAGAGAATAGTCAACATTCAATAAGCGCTCAAAGAAAGCTCTGCTCCTAGCAGGGATATATCTCCCTTGATAAGATGGACTCCGGATGTCCTCACTGCTCTATGACACTGTCCTGTTGTCATAAAAGGAAGAGATTGTTTTATGAATGTTTTGGTCACACCAAATCAACTATCTGGGTCATACCAATACACATCCATGGGGGAAAAAATGTTAAAGCTGTTTGCCTGCAGGACACAGGAGAGTGAGAGGAGAGGCTAAGATGCTAAGAGCTAATAGCTAAGATCATTAGAACTTAAAGGTGGGGTAGGTAATTTTGGAGAAACCAGCTCGAGTGCGCTATTATTTGAAAATACACAACCGGAGAAAATCTGCCACTTCCTTACAGAGCCCCTCCTCCAACACACATGAACGCGCACATGACCAATGAGGGCACGAGATAAGTTTGTGCACAGATGGAAGGCTGACAGGCTGGTAGGCCATCCAGTTATTTTAGCCGGGCCGGCTCAGATGATTGGTCGTGCTTTTTACAGTACTACGGCTTCCACAGATGACATTTTTTGATGGATTTTTTGTCAAAGCACTTAAGATATTCATTGCTATCGGGATGTTAAGAGCATTCCATGGAATATAACAAAAAGTGTATCTCGAGCCGGTTTCTCAAACTTACCTACCCCACCTTTAACATTAGAAAAAAAAGAATGGGTATGGGCAATGTATGGGTCTAGCAAGACTTCTTTTGCCTTGTTCAGAGAAGACAGCAAATGAGCCAGTGTTGGGCACCAGATAACACCAGACTAAACTGTTAATGATACTTTCTTTTATATTATACCAAACAAAGTAATCCAGTGAAAGGATACTGGTCCAGCCTCTCCTTCTCATCCATGTTTTGAGCCTTGTGGATCAGCTTGCGCACCCCCTGGATCCAGGCCTTAGCTTCCTCTGGCGTCTCAGCCACAAGGTCCAGGTTGCCTTGGCGACCGTGAAACACCAAGGTGAAGCAGAGGTCAGCAGGGAACTCCTCTGCAGTACTCAGCAGGACCTCCGACTGGTGGCCCTCACGCACTGCCTCCATCTCTGTGACTGAGACTGAGACATGGGGAAGGTTCAGTGTTTGGAGGATTACACTATTTCTATTGCCTAATTTGCACTGCTCATGCTTATACCCAATAACAGATCTCAGATTAAATCTAAAAGGTATATTTGTAGTGATTTATTGTATTTTGTATTTCCACATATCTGTCATAATAACTTTGTATTCTTGGTCAGGAACCATTGTTCTTAGGGACTTTAAGTTCTGTATATATTGAGCTACGTCACAGTTGGAGTTAACTTTAACGGGACCCCTAGGCAAATACAATTGTTTGTAGCTTCCTCATAACCCAAACAATACATGGCAGCTCCATTACTATCACAAATGCCTAGAAACAAACACGGCCTGACCCAACGCTTATATTGATTAAGCACTTAAATAAGATTAGAACACAGGGTTTCTCTACACGGGACACACGATTGAGTATTATAGGACCCATTATGGGTGATATTGTACTTTAGAGATGAAAATTAATAAATGTTTTCGCCATAGCCAAGTGGGGCCCCTGGACGGCCCAAAGAAACAACTTTCCTGTTAGTACTGTATGCTTAATATGTAGCTGAACCCTGAAGCGTGGCTCTGTCTTTAGTGAACAACATGTGCCTACCTGCATGTCTTAAACTTTGTATTTAACATGCTTGTTTAATTAGCACAAAGGCTAATACTGCCCTGTTGCACCTCCCATCATGGAGCTTTATAAAAAGGGTCATGGCTCATATCAAAACCGGCCGTCCACCCACACTGATCACCCTCCAATTAAAGTCCCAATTAGCTGTCAACCCCACTTTTGACACAGTAAACTAGGCTAAGCTAATCTATGAAACTGCTAGCTTCAAATACTGTACAGACTTGGGGGTGATCTGTATATCTAACTTTCTGCAAAACAACTTCCCTCGCTTGTCTTTCTCACTAATCACCTGGCCAAAATCAGTAATCAGCACACCTACCTATCAATCAAGTTAGCTCCTTCTCTACTGAATCCTGCTCCAATACCAAGTATCTGCTGGATTGTTGCCATACATGGAAACCCTGCCAGTCCCTCTAACTCCTCCAGCCAGCTTGCCAGCTTAACCCCCGGACCCCCTTTTCCCCTACAGCAACTTACGTAAGCGTGCTAATAAAGAACATCCCTTTCCCCCACTTGCTTGTCCCTGTATTTTGGTACAGCCACTGTAGCCCTTTAAGAATTGGAGAAATTATAGGACCGTGAGGTTGAGTTCCAGATTTTTCAATAGAAAAAAGTGTTTGTGTTCTGTATTTAACATGTCATTTGACCCCCACATTTCCTGGAACCCAATGCATTATAATGTGGACTTTTTATTCAGAGACTGGCTGGATCATATGAATAAAACAACAGTTAATATTTCAGTACATAATGCATGCTAACATGTGCACATGTTGAAGCACTCACAGGTGGAGTGGCCCATCCCTGCCCATCTGGACTTGTACCAGATAGTCATGCCGTCCTCCAGGAGGCGGAAATGTCGCTGCTTTTTCCATGAACGTGACTTTATTTTTCTCAGAGTCGACCCTGCCATCATCACCTTAATATGTGGGTCATCCTGGATGCCTGCACAGTCATGTAAAAAGTCAAAGTTAAGGATCATGTCACACCTCAGGTACTGTACTGTCATAAGGGATTCAGTTAGGATAAATAAAACTGAGCTTCTTAATACTTCTTAATAGCACATAAACCTTCAAACAGATTTCAAAATCATCACCATTTTTCGATCATCAGTCAAAGTGAATAACATTTACTTACGTGAACCTTCAGGATCCATTGCTATTCTTGAACCATGTCAATGGAAATGTGCTGCTAAAGAGAAACAGATGTCGGTGAATTATTCCAAAGCTTTTCTCTGTTTCCAAACAATGTGGATTTTGTAAAAGCTCTAAAAGCTGTTAATTCAACTGTTTCATATACTATCTCAGTACAAACAATTACAGCATAATACTAATCTCCAACGAGGGTTTGCTGAGCACACTTTCAGCAACACCCTGATTGAGAATGATAAAGTGTCTCACAAAACTACTATCAGTACAACAATGTATTTATGTAGCACCTTTTATGCAAGAAATGCAGCACAAAATGCTTTAAAATAAGGGAAAGTAGACATGTTTTGAACACTAAAGCAGGTATAGAACACCACAATTAAGTGAAAATCAAACATACTTAAAAATTAAAGAAGAATGAAAAGAAAAAAGATGGGGAAAAAACGATTAAACCTATTGAATGATACAAATAATAAAATCAGTAACCATTTGCAGTATGCCCATTACGTCTTTAAAACTGCAGCAGCGTCAAACGGTCTCCATTATCTTCTACTCTCTTCCATGTTCTGTTTTCTTTTCCACATAAATAATTGATTTTTAAGACATAAACTTTTGTTTTGAGTGCACTTGACAATGTTTCTGTTCCGCTGAATTGCCAGCTCCAGGTCTGCTTAAAGGTGGGGTATGTCATTTTGGAGAAACCAGCTCGAGTGCGCTTGAATTTGAAACAATGCAGCCGAAAAAAATCTGCCTCTTCCTTCAGACTTCCTGACAGAGCCCCTCCTCCAACACACACGAACGCACACATGACCAATGAGGGCACGAGATAAATTTGTGCACGAGATGGAAGGCTGACAGGCAGGTAGGCCATCCAGTTATTTTAGCTGGGCCAGCTAAAATGATTGGTCGTGCTTTTTACAGCGCCACGGCTTCCACAGATGACATTTTTTTATGTATGTATTGTCAAAGCACTTAATGTATTCATTGCTATCCGGATGTTTAGAGCATTCCATGGAATATAACAAAAAGTGTTTTTGAAATAAATTACATACCCCACCTTTAACATGACCTCCTCTTGAGAAAGAATATATACTGGCACAATGTCCAATGATATTGTACAGTAAAGGCTGTAAATGCCAAGGTATGAGAAGGGCGAGTCAGCATTTAGGTCTTAATCCACTCACAATCAATCTTTACTCATTACACTGAGAGGCTGGAGCATGGCAAGTCCTGCAGTCTGTGTGCTGACAAAGAAAAAGACACATTCAGCATTCTGTGTTCACCTCAGATTTATCTAATAAAATCAATAGAAGACAGATTTTTTTACATTTTGATTTACCTGCACGTGATTGAATTGCAATAACCTTCTAATTGTGGACTTTTATTTTTGATATATGACAACATGCTACAAGAATATACCACAAAAAAAGTGAGCTTTCATGTTTCATACACAAGAGTAACGTCAAACTTGTTTGGCCATGTTGACCGCGTGGCCCTATAGGGACAGTGATGTTGTTGTTTGTACCAGACTGTATATCAACCACAGGATTAACCACAATTACATTTGTTTCAGACATTCATGGTTCCCCGAGGTTATATCATAATAACTTGGGTGCTTCTATGACTGTAATTGAATGCATCATGAAGTTCATGTTTCTGTTTTGACAAAAAAAGCCCAACAACTCCGATAATGGATGGATTGCCATTGAATGGGGTACATCCATTAATCCGCAGATGCTCTGGTTCAAAATGAGACCAACAATTATGAATCACAACAACATCCCAAAGCAAACAGTTGTAAAGTGTAAATATAAATGTAGAAGGCTGATGGGACTTCCAAAGCGTTGTGGAGATAACATTTGTGTATTGGATAAAATGTCCGATACACAAAGCCTTATCAAAATGTGAGCATGCTTTTAAGCCACTTAGAGTGGCATGATTCCAAAAACCTTCTTCAATGCAAGTTCATCGATTCTTCTTTACCTTGGTGGGCCAAAATATGATGAAAACCTAAAGCAATATGTGGGCCAAATAAAAGTGTGTAAGGGAGTAACTTCAAAGGAACTACTCTGCTTAGACTGAGTTACAAGACCATTGTTTCACGAAGTTCAAGTCAACTCCTTCCTTTGGCCAAAAATCATAAATGTGAGTGTTTTGTAAACCATCCAATCATTTGAAACAAATGAGGCAAATGTGCTGCTTATCAGTGAAAGTGGATACACGCCTGCTATCTCTGTTGTTCGCTGATAAATGTGGATAAAAGACTTCCGGAAAGGGAAGGTTTTCTAGAAGTCTGTATATCTGTATTCCTGTCAGACAGCTATCCTTTCCTTTCATTGTCTCCTGAAACAACAAGATCTAACCTTCGGCCCTGAGTATTTCTAAATCCCCTGTGCCAGCCCTCCCTGGCAAGTTTAAATGAAATGAAACTGAGTTCTCCCCACAGCATGACTGACATGAACCAAGGAATGCTTTCACAGTTGTTTCACAATTTAATATCACACTCTTACTGCAAAAACAGACTGACCATGAAAGCGAGAGTTATTTTCCACAGCTATTTGCTCCATGAGCTGTGAGCTTTTATGGGTTGTGCTTTCACTGCAGAGCCGCGTCTAAGACTTTTTTTTTTCACATCCAAGTTTTTCAGATCCTACTCTCAAAAGATCAACAAGCCCTCCTTCATGCATAACAAGCAGACTTCTAAGCTGCAATTAGGTCACGTTATGTTTTATTTTTGGGGCCATGCTGCCTGAGGCCAGATGAGTCACACAAGGCCACTTCTTCAGACTGACCACACACAAACACACAAAGACATGACTAATGTGCATACAGACAGGTTGGAAAGTGGGAATGCACAGCTCAGTCATGAGGACCAACAGCTTGGTACTTTTATCTTGTGCGCTTCTACTTCAAATCTGTTTCCTTCATCACAGGAATTTTTCATTTCCTCTGTAGAGTGAGGATCTGTGTCCTCATTTACTGCGTTTTTCCTGCACGCAATTATGTGAAGAATTCAACAAATAAGTCAGGCGGCACTGCAAGCCCTCTAAAATCCATATATAACTCCAAACTGCAAGGGGAGGGAGGATAATGCACAGTTAATTAGAACCAGAGGCAGAAATATGAGACAGAAAAGCATCCCTTCAGCACAGCCTGTCTGCAACTGCAGCTAAAAAAAGAAGGACTGAGTCACATAAACTACAACTAGCTTTTGATTAATAGGGATACAGATTTATACGTACCAAAAGTACAGACCTCACAGGGGTTACTGTGAGTCCAGAGGTGGGTCCTCTTCAGGAGACAGCTGTCCCAGGGAGGTCCTCAGATACTGAGGGGTAGGACCCTGGATGGCTGGATAAATATAGGGGTGTGTGTACGTCACACTGGCTCCGCACACTGAGATCCAGACAGTCCAGGGACTGTTAGCTGAGCTCAGGGTCTTAAAGACTGGGAGTGTCTGAAGGGAAATCTGGCTCTGCCTCCTCTCTCCTCCCTCTGACTGCTGCCTCCAGGAAACCTGATTCCCTAGTCGCTGCTGCCGCACACTGGTACGCTCTGCTCCCCCCCCCCCCCCCNCCCCCCCTTCCTTCCTTCCCTGCCACTCCCTCACTCTGCCATCCGCAGACCCCTCTCTGCATCTGGTAAAGGGTCACTCCCCTCTGTTTGCTCCTCTTCACTCTGTCTGTCTTTCTCCCTCATCCTCCAGCTGATAGTTGATGCTCCGCTAAGGGACTCTGTATCAGCTCTGATAACGGTTCACACAACCCTGGGAAAAAGGTCTGCTGTGTCAGGGAAAGAAGCCAAGTCATAGAACAATGAGAAATAAGCTATACTCTGTTGTAAATGATAAAGACTCTTAACATTTGATATCAAAAGATTGCGTCTGAGCAGAGGCTGATAAAGGGCTACACCGAACAACTTGGCAGTATGCCATTCTGCAGAGAAGACACCTTGTTGTTCATTAGTGGAATGTAATGTACTTTTGATGTATATGTACTTTACTTTACTATTTACATCTCAGAATTTCTTTTGACAGAATGAGTTACTTTGCTTTTTTTTTTCATTAATACACAATACAAATCAACTTGCATATTATGATTTATCCCCATATTTGCCACAAGCAAAACATTAACATGCCTAGATTATAATTCAGAAATAAAACATATATGAAATGACTTGCATAATTGTTCATTTAACTTGTTGTAGGCTACTTTAAGTATATTTTTGATGTGACTATTCTTTACTGGAGTAAGATTTTGAGTGCAGGACCTGTACTTGTAATGGAGTATTTTACAATGTGGTATTGTTACCTAAGCAAAAGATCTGAATACTTATTTCCCCCCTGTGATAGACAACTGTTTAGATGTGTTTTTTTATTACAGTGTTCACTTTAAACTATACATCTCTACTGTCTGACGTGCATTTGAAAATGCATTGGTTATAGTTTAAATCTGTTTTAACAGGCAAATAAATGGGAATTTCAGTGGGTGCGGATGTGGACGTCTGAATCCAAAATAGCAACATAAAAAGGAAAACATCACTTTTCCCATTATCCAGCTAATGCATTGTTTCATTTGAAAGGTCCTTATAATGGCTTAAGCCAATGTAGCTCTTCCCACATATAGGGAAAACGAACCAAAAAGCACCTGATACTTAGGATACTTTGGAGCATCTCCCCTGGGGAAATGGAACTGCTCACAAATGGAAGGCTCTAGCGATGGAAGCTGCCCATCTCATCTCATGGGGCCTGCTAATGTACTTGTGAAAGGAAAGTAAGAGTTCATTCGAGTTAGAGTGAGCACTCAGTGAGCAGGTGAGACAATTTCCCATCAGTCCGACAAAAAATGAACTGAAGATAACTCTTACTGCACTATAGAGCTTCATACAATCTTAACCAATTAAAAAGATCCTCTTGAATCACTTTACATATAGTGACAATGACACCTCTTCAAAATACTGCTAACCCGCAGTGCCGTAAACAGACGCCCTTCAAGGAGAGTGAGAATAATTTTTCCGGTTATCAATTTTCCAAATCCTATTTATAATATGCATGGGAGGCGTATGGCGCAGTGGGTTAATGCGCTGATCTCCAAATCAGAGGATAGCAAGTTCGAGTCCCACTGCAGTCAGCATGCGGTTTTGTTCCTGAGACACTTCACCCCAAATTGCTCCTGTGGGGTTTGTCCACAGTATTGAGTATGTAAGTCGCTTTGGATAAAAGCGTCTAACATGTAATATCATTTTTTCTCACATGTTTAGCCAAGACTTTACAGGTAGAAACAAGGTTAGGGTTAGTTTTGCCGGACGCATGTTTTTTTTTAACCATTTAAATCTTTCTTTGTCCTTTTTGTGGAAGAAAATATTTTGCTTTTTGTGTTTGTTGTTGTAATACTTTGGCCTCAAGAAACAGAAACATTGTCCTTGCAACCAGAGGCCTGTACTACGAAGCTGGATTTTCCTAACCTGGATATGTTTGAGTTAGCCGGTTGGCCTAATCCAAAACATACGCGCTCTCGCTAAACGGGAAGTATACCTCGACATCTCCTTTATTTTATTATTATTTTTTGTAATTCCTATGTCATTTAAATGTATTATCTATGGTTATATCTGTTATGTCACAGAGTTTTAAATGTAATTTGTGGAGATAATTTTGATCAGCCTACTAGCTCCATCGAAATTTATTAGTACATCATTGATTTCACACCACAATTCTTGACTTATTGTAGTAGTATCATGACGACATACCTTCCTATTAAACTTATAGGACACGTTCCTGTTTTTTTAGTTAAATAAAAACCAGGAAAACCCCCTTCCTCTTTTTTAAAAACAACAAGAAAGTAGACACTAGTTACAGATAAGACTCATTACGGTTTATGATTGACCATTTTTTTACAAACATCGGCGTCTTCGCGACCATGCGTTTTCATTTCCTCCCATCGCCTTCATTGCGTTTGTACTCTGTCAACTCGTCCTTAGTCGTGCGGCTCCCACCCTTCTCCGGTACCGGATCGATAGTCGATTTCATCCGATGGCATATCCGTTTGGTGCTCTCACATCCCGTTGACACCTCAATGTCAGCGATTCTCTTCGTCCTCTTTCAACTATCTCACCGAATTCGACATCACTTGCACACTAATGTGCAGTCCGGTAAGCACTAGTTCTCAAAAATTTTTGTGCTAGCTAATTCAATGTCTATACTCTCGGTATGTCGTTGTCTTTGTCCGTCGTGCCCTATGGACACTTCTACTGTTGTTGGTTGGCCTTCAATCGTTGTACCGAATGGGCTTCATCACCAGGCTCTCTTTATTTGACGCAAGGTGGTGAGGCGACATGTATGGACATACGTCTTCATAAATAAAATTCGTTGTGTAATTCACTGCTTTCGTGAGCTCAGGTTTAAACCAATTTTATATTCAGTCGTAGGTGAGCACAAAAATTCTGCTCCCGTCCACTATAGTATTGTGGACATTACATACCGTATAAGTTGTGAACAAGACAATGGTCGACATAAGTGGTGAACGTTCCACCCGTGATTACACCGTAAAATAGGACCTATTTTTCACTAAATCAGACCTACATAAGTTCAAAACTTGCACGAAATTATAAAACAGATTATAATTCATCAACTGAAAAGTAAGTCCCATAGCGACGCGACAGTCAGTGCCGAAGAGGTATAAACACTAACCAGCTTTACGAGGGTTTATCGGTGGGGAAAGTACATTCGCCGTCGTATTATGTCTTTCCCGGTCGACCGACCGAACTCCGCTAGGGTAAACTATTGGCGCNAAGATAATTTTGCCAGTCAAAAAAAAAGAAAATGTTGTAAAACTGTGAAGTGACACATTTTTTTGTTGTTGTGTGAAACGCTCAATGAACTACATCTCTGTCTTTCTAGTTGCGTATTTTTCATAGTCTTATATTTCAACAGTTTTACGAAAAACTGTGACTTTTTTGACATGGAATTGATTTTTTAAGATTGACAAACATCATATATGTAATTCGTGGCACAATTCAAACGGGATCGAAAGATATGTTTTCTCTCTCCATTGACTTCAATACATAATTTTTTCCGAAATAAGGTCCCGTGGACCGGAAGTTGATGGGCGTGACTTCGCCGTGTTCACATAAAAGGGGCGGGGTTAGCAACATTTGACCAATCACAAACATGGAGAAGCATACTGACAGCGCAGCGTCATACTTCCTGAATGAAAAGTCAACTATAATATTAGACAAATATTAAGACGTTAAACTTTAAACATCCATGACTTAAACACTTTATCCAGGATAAAAGCAACATAGCTGCACCTGAAGGTGAATACAGCTGGTAAAAG